ATGAGATGGACATCATCAAATCACACAATTAAATAGTTACAGTGACAGTACTATTACCTGAAGGTTTTTGAAGGTGGAACAACTATTGCTTTGGATGCAACATGACTATGTCCATGGTAGAAATCATCACAAGCCGATGGGAGTGGTTCCTTTCTTTTCCTAATACTTGCAACCACAACACGCGGCAAACTGGTGAACGGACTACCTTCTGGTTTAGAATTGGTGTAAAATCTGCTTCCCATTAGGAAAATCACTAAACCAAGAACACTAGCTCCAACACAAATGAAAAATCCAACTTTCCAGCTCACATTATCTTCAACATAGACAACAGCTGTGGATGCTACTACAGAAGAACCATACACGAAGAAAAAGAACCAATTGAAGAAAATCCCTTGATCCTTTGGTTTATTAAATTGATTGGCTCCCAATGTTGAAAGGGTTGATCGGGAACCACCACTCCCCAAAGTTGCAAGAACTATGGCTGCATAGAGTACTACATACTGAACTTTTGGTGTAGGACTGCATGATGTTGAGCCAACTTCACAAGGCTTAGGCCTCAAAGAATCAAGTGTTGCTGTTAAAGCTAAAAGGATTGTGCCCTACAAGTAGAAAAGACAAAAAAGAAAAAATCTAACTCCTTCTAGTCCACTTTAAGTGATTTTTTTGCCCCTTTTTTTTCCGGATATCAATAAGGAATTAACTTCTTCTTTCCAAAGTTGGTAAAGAGCCTATGAATAGTTTGTTATATTTCCAATGAGCAAATTAAGGTTATTATAGTGAATTTCATTGTTAATTAATTCTATAAATCGAATTCTCTAATTTGTGTAAAAAGTGCCAAAAAATTTATTTAAAGTGGACCGGAGAGAGTATTAATTAGGTATTTAAATAATGTCTAGAACCAGGGGCGACCCGACCAATTTCGTGGCCTAAAGTCAAACTTTACGAGGGGCCTTAATTTTTTTTAATAAAAAATATTTTATTTTTATTTGAAGTCTATTTTTTTATTTTTCTTAGATACAAAGTTATTATTAATTTTTTATAATCAATTTCTCCTATTAAGTACAATTGACGATATAGCTAATTCGTTTAATATCTTTGAGACATTGTTGATCTTAGGTAAAGTTTTATCAATTTTAATTTTGAAACACTTTTTTCTGATGAAGCAACGGTAATAGGGGATATTAACATTATTCTATAAGCAATATAGCCATTTGGAAATTAATCAAATCTTTTTATTTGATTGAGTATATTATTAAATTGTTATCGCTAATTGAAATATTTTTCTGAATATTTTTAATTCAAAAAATAAATCTAGACTATCAATATCGGGTTGATTATTATGATTTAAGGAGCATTCAAGATGAAGGCAATTTTTTTTCAAATTTC